CCCAAAATGTACATTGGGGCTGGTGAGATGGTTTAGTACGTAAAAGGGGTTATAGCCATCCGTATCATGTGCACACTCACCCATAGCCATCTGTATCATGATGGAAGGACCTCCACACATGTGCCATCATGTGCACACTCACCCACATGTTTGTGGTGATATGTCATACAGAAACAAACAAACAGCTAGGAGGTAGTGGTGCACACCTTTAATCCCAGAACTTGGGAGGCAGAGACAGGCTGATCTCTATAAGTTCAAGGGCAGCCTGGTCTAAGTTCCAGGACAGCCAGGGATACACAGAGAAACCCTGCCTAGAAAAACCAGTCAATCAATCAATAAACAAACAAACAAGATACTCTTTTAAAAATGATACCACAGTCAGTGGATGCAATTCAGAGTTAGTAGAGAAAACTCCTCACAAGGGTCAGATTAATAGTGATTTAAGGCAAACAAGTACCTTTCCCTTTCAGTATGATCTAGTCTAGGAGCTGAGAAACCAAGCCTGAGGAGGTCTGGGAAAGCACAGTAAAAAAACGACAACAACATTAACGCTGGCCGATCCCACAGCATTTTAAGGACAACTCAACAATTCCGCTCCTTAGGCAGAAAACCTTGCTTCATTTACACAGCATTTCTCTTAGGAACACACCCTGTATTCATTTGCCTGAGATGGTCCACTTAAGTCAAAGTAAACTGAGAGAGAGCCTTCAAGAAAACAAATCACTCAGCAGTTTGCATATCCACTTTTCATAAACACCAAGACAATTTCCCAAACAAAAGGCAGAATAGCGGCCACAAGATGGAAGATACAGGAAGACAAGCCTCAATTTACTCCCTTTGCCTGCCCTGAAGAACAGGAAGTCTGGGAGGAGCTTCCCTGCTACCTCCACCTCCTTCAACAGACATCTCCTTCCGCATTTGGAGAGACCGGGCACCCCAGCAGAACGTTCATACCACATGCAGAAGGCTCACCCTTCAGCCTCAGCATGCTTCCTTCCTGCAGGACCCACCAGCCGCCAGCCAGCCTACTGGGTGATGACCAGTGTTACTCCATTAAGCCTCAGTCACAAAGCTGGCACCCATCAATCAACTTATCAATAATCAGGTGCCAGACACCCCGATTTCCTTTGTCCTTTGTGTCAATTGTTTTTGAACCCAGGGGGGATAGGAAAAGGCTGTTACTCAATCTGGGTTCAAACAGTTCACACATTCTTGGGAGGACACAGCCCACTCACACTACCTTCCATCAAAGCCCCTCTAAATCCAAACCTCTCACCTTTTTTTTTTTTCCCACAATGGGAATAGGCCCAGCTGAACTCATGAATACTACCTGATTTCCTAATAATCTTAAGAAAAGGCCACTGTCTAAACTAAGATTTTCTTTTTGTTATCTAATACTTGCTTTAAAAAAAAAACATGATACTTAAGAGAAAAACAAAACAACAACAACAAACCGTTAAAACACAACAAAGGTACAGAAGGATTGTGAGGACTCTGGGTACTACATGCTAATATCTGTTAATTCCTCGTATTCCTTATAGAATAAGCCATCATTACCTATAAAGGTCCTTAAGGAATCTAATTTAATGGAATGATGGAACCAAATGCAATTAGAATATAATTGTGCATACGTAAATATGCTTAGGGGAGCTTTGACAGAGCTGCTGACTGCCGCCTTCACCCAGGAATTCGGCCTTCATTATTAGTTCTCACCATTATGAAGAAAGGGTTTGTTAAGCAAAGACAAACTACCCAGTGAGTTTGAATCAGGAACTTCAAAGTGTGGCAGAACTCAGAGGCAGCCCTGCACACACACACATAATTCTCTACTGAGCAAAACCACTTTCTGGTCGACCTCATAGGAGGTCTCCTTATTGAAAGATTTATTTTTAATTTTGAACAGCTTCCCAGCATCCACCTCCATGAAAATTAAAATAAAGAGATGAAATTTTGTCCTATTAAGCAAGCCTTCCTGCAGGGTTGCTCAACATGACAGGGAAAAAGACACCTCATTGTTCCAGAGGAATTACCTGTCCACTTTTCTGCTAGATCTAAAATAATTACAACAACATTTTTCACTAAAGTTTTGACTCTTTCCTTCCTTTCTAATAAAGTTCTTGCACGTGTTACTCGTGTGGAAGATTTTCAGCATGCCTTCCCTGTGCTCTTGGACCTTTTGGCATAGTAAGAGCTGACATGATGTTTTGGCTGGAGCCCTTACGTATAGGAAGAATCAAGGAAGTCTCTCCCTAAACCCTGTGGAGGTAGAAACTATCCTCAGCCCATCTCCCAAGGGCTGCCCTCTCTGCCGGAGAATGACTTCAAACTTGACCCTGCACAGATGTGGCCTTGAAAGGTCCAGTCCCGGTGGTAAATAGGTAAAGAACACAATGCTCGTGTTTGTGTGAGGATATGGAAAAGGTGTAATGAAAGAGAGGGACTGAGGATGTGGTCCCGTGGAAGAGGGGTTGTTAGAGAGCACAAAGGCCCGGATCCAAGCCCCAGCACTGTGGATGGGTGAGGATGGAGAAGGAGCGAACTGAAAGACTGACCGGTCATAACCAGATTCTTCTAAGTGTGGACTGTGATATGTCCACTGTATTAAACATGCATGTGTGTGCACACACACACACACACACACCAACACCACACACATTTCTTGCTATTACTCTGGTGATACTTCTAAAACTCTAACATCATTCTAGTCTTTCTAGAAAAATGAAACATCAAACAGCATAGATGATCTAAAAGTACAAAATTAAAAGGCAAAGTCCAGGGGCTGGGGTCATAGCTCAGTCAGTAAAGTGCAAGCCTAGAAAAGAACAGCCAAGCTTGTGGCAGATTCTTATAACTGGGAAGGTGGAGATGAGTGGATCCTTTGTACTCACTGGACAACAAACATAATGTACTTGGCCAGTTCCAGGCGAATGAGATACCCTTCCTCAATAGTAATAATAATAACAACAATAACAATACTAACAACTTCAACAATAATAATAATAAATCAAATGAGATTGTACCTTAGGGTGACAAAGTTGTCCTCTGATCTCTACCATACATATGTACACTCATGAATGTACAACCAGACACATGCATCTGCACACACGTGAACATACATATAAAAAAGATAAAAGCCTGCCAGTTCACATTCATGGATATAACTATAAAGAGACTGTTGATTCTTGGACAGTTTAAGACTTTTCATGGCAGCTCCTGTTCAAAATCTTTCACAATACTCTTTTTAAAAAATAATATATTTATCGCGCTGTGGTGGTACACACCTTTAATCCCAGCACTCGGGAGGCAGAGGCAGGCGGATCTTTGTGAGTTCGAGGCCAGCCCGGTCTACAAGAGCTAGTTCCGGGACAGGCACCAAAGCTACAGAGAAACCCTGTCTCAAAAAACCAATATATATATATATTTTTTTCTGGGATATTCAGAGTAAAATGTAAAAAAAAATGGCTTTGAATTATATCTTTCATTACTGGATCAATTAATATGCATATTTTACTTAACGATGGAGGTCACGTCCTGAAATACTGAAAAGTGAGATATGAGACGACAGGACTGAGGGGCAATTACAATCTTTTTCTGGTCGTGCTTTCCACCATAAAAATCTCACAAAATAAGCCAATTTCCCTCCCTTCCTCTGGAATTCTTCAAAAATAACAGGGAACCTGGCCAGTAAGGTAGCTCACCAGGTAAAACTGCCTGCAGGAAAGCCTGACCTATATCCCCTCCTTGGTTTCCTAGGCGGGAGGAGAGCCCCATTCCTGGAGTTTTTCTCTGGTCTCCACAGTAAACCCTGACACTCCAGTTCATCTAAATATTCAGATTGAGAGAGACAGAGTTGCAATGAACACAAACACTTCAAGAACAGTGTTTTCTAGTCAGCTCTAATTGATGTATGCTATAGAAGAAATGGGGTGGACTAGCTACCTCCTGGGGCGCAGATCAGTCAGATCCAATTAGGCAAAAGTCTACAGAATTAGCATGAGAAAGGCTATAGATAGCCCAGGCTGACCCCAAACTACTCATCTTCCTCAATCTCCAAAATCCTGGGATTACATAGGTATGTCTATCACACAGGACTAGCATGCTTCTTAAGGCAAGTGTTGTTAACTACAGAAGTAAGGCTTACACAGTGGGTTCTAATATAAAGCCCTGTGTGTTATTTAGTCTTTTACATTTAAGAACAAGATCCAAACTACAGCTGCTAATGCTTTTGTTGGCTAATTCAACAGACACCAGGGTAACACCCCACATTAGTAAAAATCAATCTTAGGACCTTATGTAATCTGTAAATGCTGTCCATCTACAGATTATGAATTTGGGGCTTAAGTAGCAAACATGGAGAGTGCTTGGGAAAGATGACTCTGTATTTAAGAGTGCTTGCTAAACAATCACGAGGAACAGAGTTTAGATACCAGTAAGCACCCTAACAAACCAGACATCTAGCATCTACTTTTAGCATTACTAGAATGAGACAGAGACAAAAGGATTACCAGGGTTTGCTGGCTTCCAGCATGGTCTAGAAAACACAAGCCCTGAGTTTAGGGGAGGTTCCGCCTCAAAGGAAATGCCGGAGTGTATTGGAGGAGGACAGCAGGCTCTTCTGGCCTCTTGGTGCTTTTGTGTTCAGAGGCTCCTCTGCATACACACATGCACAGACACTAACACATAAATACTTAAGTCTTAAAAGACAAAGGAAGTAAATCAAGTATGAAATGGACCCAAGTGACTTGGTTTACTAATGTTATCATTGTCTTTCAATTGTGCTGTCCGATTCTTCATTTTATTTCTGCTGCCCTGCCTAAGGCACTGTATGCAGCTGCTGTCTGAAGCAATACAGTATTTGCTACACTAATAAATGTCCTCCTCCAAAATCTTCTGTATTCTAACACAGATTCTAGGTTTATAACAGGCTTTGTTTTGATTTTCAGCACAGAGATACAATTTGTGATTATCAGCACCCACAACTTAATAGGGATTATTCCTACCTGCTTGGTTGGTGGTCACAGTGACAGATACTGACTGGTCCGGGCTGGGGTTGTACTTCGATACTCCGTTCACTGCCCAGATCTCAAAGGTGTAATTGGTGTGCGCTAGCAGGTCAGTGATGGAGACTCTAGTCGTCTTGAGGCCATTCTGCTGTGGCGTGTAGTGCACTCCGCTCCCACAGGGCCGGCACTTGCTGGGGTCACCGGCTCCACACTTCTTGCAGACCACATTGTAAGAAATGTCTTGGCGGCCCCCTGTGTTCTGAGGACTGCTCCATTCCAAGTTCACCGACGTCTCGTTGACATTGGAAATCAAGTTGAGGGGAGCAGATGGTGGGCCTGAGGAGAGAGAAACAGACTGTCACCCTAAGCACTGAGACCCTGTCGGACTCCTTCAGAGTTTCTATTATTCTCTCTGCTGAAGGGAAGGTCCACTTGGCAACGCGAGCAAAAGGCAAAGAGAGCTAACAAAAAGAAACCTTCAAAAGAACAATGCACTAGAAGTTGTGCGTGTGGATGTCATCCTACTTCCTGTGCAAATAAACATGCCACTTAGAGACACGACGCCACTCCACAGTGAGCGGGCTCGAGGCCCAGGCCTGCTCTCGGTTGGCAGAGAGGCGGCATATGTTATCTGGTCTCTTACCTTCTGAAAGTCAGCTCCACAAATGGGATTCCAGTTCCCAGGGCTGTGGGGGACTGGAAAAATTAGTCGGCTTTTGAAGACGTGTTCTGATTGCTCCGTGGAACACATTACCAATAGTAAATTAAACGACCAGAGCTACAGAGATAGGAGTCTGCAGGCACAGATTTAAGAGACGGTGAAACCGCTGGTGGGTCATTAGCAGGAATTGGTCTAACACGATCGCAAAGATGGGAACGAGAACTCAGAGCTAGTCCCGGGCTGTCCATGTCCGCCACATCCCCGCTTCTCTCTCCTGCATAGATTAGAGCTGCACCCAGCTATAAAATCACATCCATTCCCACTGACATCAAAAAGTTTCTGAAATGTGAATGATGATGATGACTGTCATCCTAGATGGACTGGTTAGCAAAGCATAATGGGTAGAAAACAATAGAAGATAAGCCTATCAACCCTTAGCCAAAAGGCTATGTCCTAACTGCTGTCAAGCAGAAGTCTGAAACTGAGAGCTGAAAAAGTGACTTTTGCTTTCTCTTCTATTAACAACCCTGGCTGTCCTGAAACTCACTCTGCAGACTAGGCTAGCCTCGAATTTACAGATGTCCACTTGCTTCTGCCTCCCAAGTGCTGGGATTAAAGTAGTGCGACCCCCATCAGGAGGGGCTTTCTTGGTCAAACATTTAAAAGCAGTCATTTTGTAAAATCACCAAACGAAAGCAAGCAAACAAACAAAAAGCAAAACAATAACAGAAGGAAGGCAAAGAGCCAAACTGAGTTTTCATGGAGCACCCTTTCCCCACACAGACACGTGTATACACATGTATGTATTTATGTGTACATACACACACGTTTTGGGGGGATGACTGCTTTGAAGGTAATTCTGCTCTCGTCTCGGGAAGGAATATTTACTGGAGGCCGGCATGGATTTGATGCTTTTCCCTATTAGCAACAATGGAACCCCGAGTCTGGTCCAAAGCAGTGATGGAGACAAAAGTGAGGCAGGTTGCCTGTGGGCAGAGTCACACTCAATATTTGTTACTTGACTTGCGGTGATAAATGGGGCCAATGGATTTGGTGGGAGTGTTCTGTGTGGGAAATCTCCCATCCTGTTCCCTCTTACAGCTTAACTGAGGATGTTATTTTAAAAAATCTCAGCAGCTTCTCACTACATCCCCAGAGACCAATCACCTGAGGCCTCTCTCAGCTGTAAGATCCACTCCCCAACCTCTACTCCCCAACCTTCAAGTCTTAAGGCGGGGGAACCTTAACAAAACTATTGTAAAACATGTGTTAAAGCTAAGCCTACTTCATATACTCCCCAGAAACAAAATTAGAAATGTCCTCTTATTTAGATTTCAAGACTGAATGTATGCTCAGGATTGAGTAAGGATGAACAAATGGCTTCAGAATACGTGGATGGAGTAACTGAAATATCAGACCCTTTTTTTTTTTTTTTGGTTTTTTGAGATAGGGCTTCTCTATGTGTCTTTGGCTATCCTGGAACTTGTTTTGTAGACCAGGCTGGCCTTGAACTCAGAGATTCTCATGCCTCTGCCTCCTGAGTGCTGGGATTAAATAAAGGCATATGTACAGCACTGTGCCTGGTAAAAATATCAGACTTTCAAGAGCCAAATATGCAATTAACTCTAAGTATTAAATACTAGTGATGAGGGAACTGAGATGCAGAAGGAAGACGGGTAATAATGTAATCTACACAATATAATTCGTAACAGAGTTTACTGAAGTCTCAGGGTACCGTGCCCTAGAATCTGAGGTTAGTTCTGCTCCACTAAGCTTTAAGTAGGAGCGTGCATTTTCTACTCTTCAAAGTCTGGGACTTGTGATGGTCACCATGGTAAAAGCCCTCATCGGGCTGCAGGTGGAGCTGGCTAGAGTCTGGTTTATAAAGCGGGTCAGCCACTGTTTCTTACTTTCCTGTGACTTCCAGGGCTGAACAAGAGTGACTCTGAAGTCCATTAACCTCCTTGCCGAGGCTCCCCGTCCACTTTCACATGGGAAAATGGGACACAATGAACCAGGCACTGCAGAGGCAAAAAGTCAGTAATTAGTATGGCGGACGGGGCACGGCGCTGTCTAAACAGCGAAGAAATGGAGCAGAAAAATAAACGGTCACCGGAGCCGGAGCTGTGGCACTGCCCTGTGGAAAGAAAGCAATACAGGGTGCAGATGCAGCAAGATTGTATGAAAACAGCCTCTGGTCTCCAACAGCCTTCTTGGTAAATGCTGAAGGAGTAAGAACAAGGTTCAAACTCAAGGTTGCCTCCAGGAACGGTCTAAAGAACCACACTCCCTGTGCGTCATCTTTTGCTGTCTTAGAACATGACGAGAATACTGTAGCAGGGTACAAATTGGACAATTATGGTCACGTGATAAAGGGGGAAACGAAACATGGAGATCCCTGCCCAGTATGATTATCGCACTGGTCTACAGAGGACCCGGAAGAGCACACTTGCTTTCCCAGCTGAAATCGTAATGATGGCTCTGTCTCGTCTGTGGCCTTGGGGTTTCTTTTTATAACTTTGGCCAATTAAAAGATGACAAACATGTAATGGGTGTGTTCCTCCTGTCTAGTGAAGGGCCACGGCTTCCTCAGAAAAGAAAAATTCTCTTCTCAAGACAATTAAGAAAAACAAATTGATGGACTTGAAGACAGCCAAAGCCGATCTAGGTCCCTGGTTAGATGTAACATCACCTCTCTTACTCTTTGCAGGGACATCTCAGAGAAACCAGGCGGGCTGAGAAACTCGAACTCTCAGTCAATAAACAGGCCATATACAATCACGTCCCATTCTCTCATAAGTTTTGTATCTAAGTGTCTAGCAGTAACCACGCACGGATGGTGACTGCCCCTCCTTCCCAGTCAGAGATTAAGCCCGTCTGCAAGTGAAGTCTCCAGTTCAAGCGCAGTAGGGCTCGCTAGACCCACGCGGTCCACTTTCAGAGTTCTAACCAACTAGTTATAAGTATTCAAGAAAGAGCATGTTCTCATGAACTTAAACAGCCTGCTAGCTGTTTTGTTTTGTTTTCTATAATTCCAAGAAATACAGTATGTATAACTATGCAGATAGCAGTAGACAACATTTTATTGTATTATTAGTTAAAAGTGCCCAAAGAATATTTAAAGTACTTGGGAAAATGGTGTTGTTCATATCATGTTAGATGTGGGGAGACCATCCTTGGATTTCCCTGAAGGTCCTAGAGCCAATCCCAGATGCAAACAAAGGGAGGACTACATGACTTTTATATCAATAAAAGCTATTGCAGAACGCAATCAAATTTCCTAGTCTTTCTGCCCCTACCACTCTTAGTGAGCACACATTGATCACTAAGGGTCACTGTGAGGAGCAAAGCATCTTCGAACACCTATCACAATTAGTCTGAATACAGGGCTGGCAGGCAGCAAGAGCGGTACCACGCCTACTTCAGTTCCTTGTTTCTGTGGCTCAGTTCGCTTTCGATGCATGGCAGATTCTTCCTAACCAGACAGAGCCGCTGCACATCTGTCCCCATCTATCACCTGTGTCTAAGTCATCCTTGAGGGAATCAGTGTTCTCATCATTTCCCCTGTCTACCATTATTTCCTAATATCTAGTTCAGAGAAAGCTCAATAAATGTTTGATGAGTGACTAGATGGATGGACAGCAAAGTCCTTGCGTGTAACGTGAAACACGCAGATGAAAACGGGCTTCCTTGAGTTAAGGCTGCACCCCTCAGTTTCTCCTGGAAGGTTCACTCACACTAACTCACTCACACAGACTAACCAGGCTGGAAAAAAAAAAAAAAACAAAGCTGGGGAAGGCTACGTAACCAGTATCAATGATTATTAACACTGGAGGGGCTGTGGAGTGCTTGTTTATTTAACAAATATCTGAGTGTCTCGTTCCATTCCGTCACCTGCTGGATGAAAAAGGAGAGGGAGAAAAAAACACCTGGACTCTTTTTAATGCACATGTGATAGGTGCCTGGATAGGAAAAGGGTTTGTAGAGGAAACCGGCTAAGGGAATCTAAACGTGAAGTATGTGTGCATTGGAATTACAGGGCAAGCACCCGACTCCGCTTTGACCTGTTCCTATGGACTCCGTGACTAACCACTGCACCTGGGAGTTTAAAATGGGGTCTGTCAATTAAAGCTTTGTCAAGTCAGAGCTGAAAGCTCCACTTTCTCTTCTGCTTTGTTCTCCTGTGATAATTTATCATGAAGCTAGCGCAAATCTCTCTGGAAGGAATGGATTCTAACATTTCTAAAGGAAGCTCGCATTTGCCTTTAATAGAATTTTAATAGAGCTCCCCTCCCCCCCGTCTAACTTTATTTTTATCACCAAATTAAGCCATTTTTAAATATGAAATAATCAAATGCTGAAGTGCTCGTAAGGGAAGAGACACTGCTCTTGTTTCATTTTGAATCGAGTTTGCAAATCTCCCCATGGCATTCACACAGAGGCTCGACATTCTGCCTCTGCACCCCAAGAACGGGGCTGGCGTGTGAGACTCTTTGTAAGGTTTTACATTTTGAACGCCCTTCTTGTTTTTGATATAATTTAGTGGCACAGATAATGACTACACTACCAGAAACAAAAGGCAAACGCAAGAACCTTTAATTTATGAATCGAGCAGGGTCAGCATTCTTTCTTTGTGAGAACGTTTTATTGCAGAGCCGCGTTGTAAATATTTTAA